CCCCCCCCCCCCCCCCCCCCCCCCCCGTCTCCGCGGTCCCTGCTTTGGGGAGCTTTGGATCTAATTGCAGTACAATAAAAATGAATCTGTTGTAATCTGCGTCGCTTATAATCCACCAGACAGTCTCATTGACTGCTATTTCGATCGCCTGCTCAAACCACAGGGAGCCCATCCTGGGTCTTATTGAAGTTATGTATTAGCATTACATATACAATATATAGCTCAGTATTGAAGCCTGTGGTTTTCCGGGCTGGGTGCGGGCTAACGCGTGCGTTGAATAAACAGAAGAGAAAATAATAAAGGTTTGAAACATTGACAAGCGCCCGAATTGAAAGCACAATATCAGTGTGTGTAAACAAAAATGTTAGAGTTTTATCCCCGAGCCGAGTCCGGGCGTAAGTAAGCCCGGTGCGAGGGTGCTAATTCCGCACGGCTATTTACCCCCGGGAAAAGAAAAGCATTAGTGAAGTCTAAAGTTCATCAATAATCGCATCCTATTTCATAGTGCTCTAATCTTTGCTCAGCTAGAAAAGGAATGAGGTAAATGGTGCTCATGCAACCCAGTCTCAGACAGGCTGGAACAGCATGGATGAGACAGTGTGCGGCGGAGTTCGACCCACACAAATGAAGGGGCGGGAAGTCTGGGTGGGCTGCTCTCCTCCGCATAGGCCGTTTTAAAACTAAGCAAGAAGCGAGCACAATGGCCAAACTCGGTATTTATAGGCATCCAGCAGTGCAATGCATTCATTTATTAGCGTCAATTTACATTAATTTAATAAGGGTTATTTTCGCATATTTAATCTACGCGTATCATTAAGAGCACTATAAATGGTATTGTATCGTATTTCATAGTGCTCTACTGTTTGCTCAGCTAGAATAAGGAATTGACTAAATGGTGCTTAGCCTACTCATTTGTTGTCTGTTATTGTGAATCCCCCCCCCCCTTCTTACCCCACTCTATTATCTTATCTCCCCCATTTCCCAAACATTATTAAACCCCAAGCCTCAATAATAATTAATCCACAATTCCAATCATCACCCAAAAAATCCGTCATTTCTCAAACCTCAATATTTCCCAAACCTCATCATGTTCCAAACCTTATTATATAAGTCTCATTAGTAGTGGGGCGGATAAGTGAAAGTATTCTGCAGTTAGTGAATAAAGCACCATTTTGACAGGATGTGTAGACTTTGATACAAGTATGAATATCAGATATGGAGGCATCTGTGAAATTAACGTTTATGGCCAAACATTTGGAATTTCTGACATTTTGTTATAAATTTCCATTACTGATAGAAATTTTAAAATTCCAAGGTAGCTCACAGAAAAAAACTAGTTGTATGGTTGAAACGTACACAAAAAACTGTCTATAGAACATTAAAGCGTTTTTTATTTTCCAAATATTTCCTGAGCTGCAACCTGTTAAAAAAGGCGATTTGAAGCTTGTACCAGTCTTTGCACCTATTTTTTATCTATTTTGTGCGATTTCGAAACTGATTAAAAACAACTTGGCAAATAAAAAACTGCTTTAATGTTCTACAGACAGTTTGTTGTGTACTTTTCAACCATATATTACGAAAGTCACCGAACTGTGGAATCGCATAAAAAATTCGTATATCGACCACTCCCATGCACAAACGTCTACGACCGCGCCTACATAGTTTTGCACGTTTACAATTCTAATTTTAAACAGCCAATTACCAAGAACCTGATTGGCTGTTCAAAATTAGAATTGTAAACATGTAAAACTATGTAGTCGAATGTAGGCGTGGTCGTAGACGTTTGTGGGAGTGGTCGATATACGAATTTTTGATGCGATTCCACAGTTCGGTGACTTTCGTAATAACTTATTTTTTCTGTGAGCTACCTTGGAATTTTAAAATTTCTATCAGTAATAGAAATTTATTTAACAATTATTCGCCGAAGGTGAAGTGATTACCGGTGAATATTAACCGAGACGAAGTCGAGGTGAATATTCCCCGTAATCACCTGCTGAGCCTGAGGCGAATAATAGTTTTAGTATAAATTGTTAATGAATATTTAAAAATATCCAAATATCAGTTCAATTAAAATTCAGAAATAAAACTGTTTTCGGCCTGTTTAATTACTGTTACTGTCACTTATTGTCTTGCAATGGTTCTTGTATGCATACGCTTTCAAAATGGCTTCTTTTGTGACTTTATTGCTTTAATACAAAGTTGTTTTTTTCTCGATTTCTGCTTATAATATAAACACAATAACGGAACAACTTTTTTACCAGACAGGGAATGGCTGAGAAATTTGGTAAAATGAAATGTAAAACTACATCGTTAAAACTACATCGTTCGAAATAAAGTTTTAATTAATAACACTTTTCACTTTACAAGTTTCGAAAACACAACACAGCGGTACCGGTCAGAACACCATACAGCACAATGAAAACATGACATATCACAAGAAATAGTATCGTACAAATTGAGAAATCTATAGGATTTAAAATATAGGATTTAAAAGTTCGAATATATATCACGGCAAGGTTTTTCCCAACAGTCGGGATAGTTTTTGCTATAAATTTGTTTTGAAGTGAATGTTTTAAATTGTTCGAGAATATGTTTGACACATTAAAATAATAAAGGAATCCTACCTTTCTTGTTAAATACAACATTTTGTGCTTCTTTCGTTTTCTGGGGACGATTTTTTCAATATTTTGTCGATTTTGAAACCAAATTTGCCGAATCATTTTTTTTGTCTTGAAAAACATTATTTACTTAATAGTCAGCTAGTAAATAATGCATCAGATTTATTAGTCAACTAGCCAATCAGAACGCGCGAAAGCTCATTTCATATGCAAAATTTATACTAGATTCAAATATCAGAAATTCAAATTTTTAGCTATCAGCGTTAATTTCACAGATGCCTCCATATCTGATATTCATACTTCTGTCAAAGTCTACACATTATGTCAATATGGTGCTTTCTTCACCAACTGCACAATTATTGCAAAATTGTGCGCTTATCCGCCCAACTATAAGGTGTTACGCGATACTGATTAGAGCAGATAATCTATGGAAATTGGTTGGTTACAAAGCAGGGACGTGCTGGCGTCTTAAAAAGGACAACGAATGAGCAAGGTCTGATGGGGCCCAGGCGCAGTGAAGGATGGCTCAATATTAATAATTTTTCCAAAAATTGTTGGCCAGCCGGGAGGGGAGAGGTCGCCAAATTTTTCCGGACATACAAACATTTTTCCACAACGAGTTCTCGTTGGCTCGTCCCTAGCCAGCACGTCCCTGTTACAAAGTTTACCGCCACAGCTTGAACTGTTGTTATTACAGGACCTGGTGTCGACAATGCAAAATAAACTATTAGAAATCATACCCGGCGATTGGCATGCCCAAATGCAAAATACCTGCTCCGAACAGATAGGCAAGGTCTAGCCCCAATAAATTATAGACAATAAACCCTCAAGCAAACCAATGGCAAACTCTTGTGCCTATACAAATGAAACAAGTCCTCGAACTCTCGATCAGATGTAGCGAAAACGCTTGCCCATATAAATGTACCAAGTCCTCAATCAGACTGAGCAAACTCTTACCCATATAAATTAAACAAGTCCTCGAGCTGAGTCCAAACAGCCCTTCCCAACCTCCCAAGGAGCCTATCCCAAACCTTTAATGGAGATCCGTTTCAACGGGAACTAACACTTTCGAACACGCTGAGTTAAAATTCGGAAAGTAGCCTAATTCCCGTTCCGTAGACCTGCAGTTTTCTCACAAACTGCAATTTTATCTTCACCAATTTCACGACAATTTTTTTCATTGTTCAACGACACGGATCAATGACGACAAACGATTATGTCACTCAAAAGGACCAATTTCTATTAACCAGTCTTCCTTTTAACAAAAGACCGTTTTGCTTTAATCATTTTTAGTTATGTAATATTATGATTGTTGGACGTAAACAGCATATCTGGGGCCGGTTGTATAAAACTCTTAATCACTTTTTTAATCATTATTTTGTAGTTAAATGTAGTATTTAACTCTCAAATAGGCGCTCTTATTGGATGACATTTCCACTTAACTATGATTAACTTCAATCATTTTTTATACAACCGGCCCCTTCAACCCCCTTGTCTACAACTTTGAGAAGGTACAGATAACGTTTTCTAAAATCCTCAGTTCTAGAGATATCTCTATAAAATCACAAGGACGTCAATGCTAAGCCTTTTGACTATTTAACTGGCCTGAAAAATAACTCTTTTAACGCGATCAAGGTATTTAAAACAAAAATAATGCGAAGCCAACGGAACGGCAAAGACAACGCTAAAATGAAATATTGTCGATGGGTTGCTGGTAGAAGACTTACGACAGGATCACTCATAAATAACCTTAAACTTGAAGAATAAATGTTCACATCAAAGACAAAGATCAGTTCCAAAGTATAAAATCAGCTCTGTATAAACTTACGACGAAGTGGAGAAATGTGTGCATGAACTGTTTATTTGGCGATTTCAACGTATATGGAAGCCCTCTTTCCAATAATATTCGCACCACCACCAACTGATATACTAGTTCAAATGCAATGATAAGTTACCTCTTGAATTACGTCTCAGAAACTGTGTTGGAAATTTAAATGCTGACCATTACAAATCATTACCGTTTTAGTACATCGTTGTATAAAACATTTTGATCGCATGTAAGGAATTATTTCTCAACTCAGAGACATAGCCGAAAGATTTAACCTTAATGTCCTTGTGAATTTATAGACATATAGAAGAGCCTTATCTGAGGATTATAGAAAGCGTTATATGTACCTTCTCAAAGTTGTAGACAAGATATGTTGTTTACGTCCAAGACGCATAATATTACATAACTCAAAATGATTCGAGCAAAACGGTCTTCTGTTAAAAAGAAGACTGGTTAATAGAAATTGGTCGATCCTTTTGAGTGACACAATCGTTTGTCTTCATCGATCCGTGTGGTTGAACAATGAAAAAATTTGTCGTGAAATTAGTGAAGATAAAATTGCAGCTTGTAAGAAAACTGCAGGTCTACGGAGCGGGAACTTTTCGGATTTGAACTCAACGTGTTCGAAAGTGTTAATTCCCGTCAAAATATTTCAGTTGCAAGGCATGGGAAATGAAAATCGTTTTCTAGGCACTTTTCGAGGTCACAGCAAACGGTCTATATTTACATATGACAGCATGACATAATATAGCGCAACAGTAGTAAACTTTGGTAAGAGTTTAGTACTGTTGATTGGGATCCATATTAGATAGCTTAAGATCTACGACGTTGACGTCAGCTAGGACGTCAGGGCTAAGTAGAAGGCTGGGACTAGGATGTCGTCCTAAATAAATAGATAGCTAAATATCTAGGACGTCAAATATTTAGCTAGGGAGACAAGCAGAATAAAATTGGTAATAGTTTTTGAAGTGTGCATGTGTCTCTCTCAATTTGAAGTGTGCATGCATGTGTCTCTCTCAATTTGTCGACAACCTCACAACAAGAGTTATACCGTCGTGGATACAAGAACATAACAAATGGTAATGAATTCATCTGTCTCTTTAGAATTCATTTTCAAAAGAATGTAAATGTTTATAGTTTAAATGTCGACGTCGTGAATCTTAAGAGGAAATTGATTTATTTAGGACGACGTCCTTGTCCCGGTCCTCTGCTTAGCCCTGACTGGCCTAGATGACGTCGACGTCGTAGATCTTAAGCTATCTAGTATTTACAGATACGCATTATGTACATTCTTGCACTGGCTTTTTTCAACATTTCATCAAAATGCAAATCCCACTTGGAAGGAAGATCTTGTAATGTAATTCCTAAAATCTTTAACCACGTCTTTCGTTTAATAAATGGAAAAGGATCCATTTAAGGACATTCGATTATTTTCAGACAAGACTGTCCATTTCAGCTCGGGATGTATCTCCGTTTTCATTCCCTGGTACTTCTAATGTCATATCATCCGCAAACTTAACTAACTGGTTTATGGGATTAATGTTTTTCATTTTTCTGTGTTGGTGTTGTGTACTCAGGTGAACATGATGTTTGTGATGTTACTCTGAGTGTATATCCAAACCGGGCGAGCTTTGCCAAATGTCGTAGGTTCGATTCCCACCGTGGCCGGGCATATTTTCCAAGCTCGCCCGGTTTGGATATACACTCAGAGTAACATCACAAACATCATATTCACCTGAGTACACAACACCAACAGAGAAAAATTCATATTACTAGATTACATTGGTAACGAAGGAACTAGATTCTGTTCCGAAATATCACTTACTCGAACCGACCTGACCGCGTAGCTCAGTTGGCAGAGCATTGAGCTAGTATTCCAAATGTCGTAGGTTCGATTCTCACCGTGGCCGGGCATATTTTCCAAGCTCGCCCGGTTTGGATATACACTCAGAGTAACATCACAAACATCATATTCACCTGAGTACACAACACCAACAGAGAAAAATTCATATTACTAGATTACATTGGTAACGAAGGAACTAGATTCTGTTCCGAAATATCACTTACTCGAACCGACCTGACCGCGTAGCTCAGTTGGCAGAGCATTGAGCTAGTATTCCAAAGGTCGTAGGTTCGATTCCCACTGTGGCCGGGCATATTTTTCAAGCTCGGCCGATTTGGATATACACTCAGAGTAACATCACAAGCATCATATCTTATTCTTCACACCTTCCAGTTACACGTGGAGTCCCAGTGGTGTAGTCCTGGAATGTTAACAAGGGGGCTCTCCAAAAGTGTCCTGAATTAGCGGGAGTGGGGAGGGGGGTACAATGATATTTTAGAAATTCTA